TGGGTTGTGTTTGTAATACATATCAGTGAGGTCTGTCCTTTGACACATGGAACTGAAAAAGATAAACACATGTGTTGTCACCTATCTGCCTTTAGATGCTTCAGGCTACTGGTCAGAATTGTGTCACCCAACCGTTAATGGGATCAACAAATGGGATGTTCTAACCATTACAAAAAGTTTGGGCCATAAATTAAATTACAGAGACATGATTCGAAGAACCCAAATCTTGAGGTATTGTGTGCTAGGAGGAAGCTGTCCAACATAAGATGTTCTGCCTTCACTAGCATCCATTAGGAGAGTCAAGAGATGGAAAAAGAACAACCCTTGCTTTCTGGATCTCTAGCTGATGTGGAAATGGAGGCTCTGGAGAAGATAAGCTAGAGGGAATTACTTCCTTCTATTTCCTTGATTTTGTGACATGTTAGGCTCATTCCCACTACAAAATAACTCTGTGTGGAAACTGGGTTATTTTGTGATCAAATCTCTCCAGGGCCATTTATGCCTTTTTGTTGTTCACACTTGAGGAGAACGGCTGCCACAGAGAGGAAGAGGACCTTGCTAGAACTTGAAGGCACACAACAATAACTAATAGAGAAGGGGCTGGCTGAAAGAAGTCTGCAAGAGCCAGCACAATCCCCGGAGCACTGGCACTTGAAAGGGAAGCCAGCAAGAGCGGATGCGGCCTCCTGATGTGAATCCGACCCATTGTTCCCACTTGTTGAACATGGATCATATTTGGGTCTTTTCAAAAGAATCGCCCAAAAACTCGTGTCAGGAAAGAGCAGTTCTTTGCGTTTGCCTCACTTCAGCGCAATTTAAACCGAACACAGTAGGATCAGAACTGGTTTCAAGTGGGAACGATAGTCATATGACCCAATCAGCAATTTGGGATAAATCCTAATGGGAATGAGGTCGTTGTCCTCAGGCACAAACAACCATCTATTTCAAACATTTTTTTTCCTGCTGGTGCTATTTTGAGAGAGAGAGAGAGAGAGAGAGAGAGAGAGAGAGAGAACACACTTGTTCCCCTCTCTGTGTTCCAGGGTCAGTATTTAGAAATAGTGTATCACAAGTAAATAAAATGTTACTTGTAATAGGTTGCTGTGGGGGGAACACATAGGGGCAATAATGTTATTTCTGTGAGATAATGCAGTGTAATGACTGGTGGTTTTTTTTTAGTGTTGCAAGTTATGTTTAGTACCAACTCCTAAAATGTTGTTTTTGAGATGACATTTGAGAGGATTTTTGCCCATGTTTGTATTTATTAAATAGATAACAGCCAAAAACTACTATAAAAGTATTGTTAGCACTACTAACAGGATACTTCTAAATGTGAAGTAATGCCAATGATCCACCTTTAAAAATTAAAAAGTAAAGAATAAAAAGTAAAGACTTTTAAAAAATAACATTCCAAACTCCACTAGAGCCATTTTAGAATCTTTTTCGCTCTTGGATCTTTGCTAAAACACTCCCTAATAATATTTTCCCCCTTTATTCAAAACAGACCAGTCAAAGGGGACCTCTAATGTTGGTATGAATCCTGTGTGATTCTGCATACATGTAACCTTGACATTAAATTTGTATTAACATTATAAGTACATAAAATGACTATTATGAAAGGAATAAATTATTATGGGCCATTGGGTCACACTGAAGCATACACATTATACTGATATTATTTAGAGCAGGGGTAGGCAACCTTTTTGAGCCGGGGGCCGGGTTGCTGTCCCTCAGACAATTGGGGGGGCCGAAGCACCAAAAATAAATAAATAAATAAATAAATAAATAAATAAATAAATAAATATTAAAATTAATTTTTTTAAAAAATTTAAAAATATTTAAAAAATATATGCAGAGTCTCTCAGCCCCAGAAAAGCCATGGCAAAACCGCTGTGGAGATTTTGCCAAGAAAACCCCAAGAACAAGTAATAACAACAACAATCAATATCATCATGGTGGTGGTGGTGGCAGGACTGGCCTGGGGCTGGTCCAAAGGCCTCGGGGGGCCGCATCCAGCCCCAGGACCTTAGGTTGCCTACCCGATTTAGAGTCTTCATATGAAACACAGTTACTTTGACAAACTCTGTGGATATTGATTTTCAGGTCTTGTGTTCAAGGTGCATTTGTGATCTCTAATTCAGGCACCTACAGATGGGGCAAACATGTCAGGAGGCTGCTGTATTTATTGCTGTAGTTCATGCTGTTTTTTAAAAAATTCCAAACATCATACTTCACACAACACATGTGCTATAATAATAATAATAATTTTATGTTGTAGTAATGACTCTCTCTCTCTCTCTCTGTGCATGCATGTGAGAGGAATCTGCATCTCAGATATCTTGCTATCCAGAAATTACACACACACACACACACACACACACATGGATACAGCCTGACATTTATTTTTTAATGCCACTATTTGTGATATTCTTAGATTCTTTCAGTATTTTTGAGGTTGCTGTTGTGTGCTTTCAAGTCATTTTCAACTTCTGGAAACCCCAAGGTGAACCTATGACACTTTTTTGTGTGCAAGATTTGTTTAGTGGGAATTTGCTTTTGTTTTCTTCTGAGGCTGAAAGTGTGTGACTTGCCCAAGATCACCCAGTGAGCTTCCATGCCTGAGGGAAACCTGGTCTCCAAAGACTTAGTCCAATGCTCAAACCACTACATCATGCTGGCTCTCTTCTTTCAGTATACCACTATACCAGTATATCAGCTGCAATTCTGCATTTTGTGAAAACTTGGGATGCAAGGAAAATGACAGCTATTCACATGCAATTGCACATGGACGAGATCTCACATTTTAGGGTGGGCCTAAATGAAATGGTTGGGTGCAGAAATTCCATTGTTTTCTATTGGGATTGTTTAATTTTCAGCCAAGGTTAATCATTTAACAGTACAAATGTATGCATGTTTATCCACAATTAAATCTCACTGTGTTCAAAGGAGCATATTCCTTTACAAGTGTGGGCAGAATACAAATCTGCAGATTAAAAAAATGGTTATTTTAAAGAAACCATCCAAAAGATTTCTTGCCATGCTATCAATAATTACTTTTAAAAGACATCTTAAAAAGTGGTATGTATATTAGCTATTGCTTGCTTTCTGCAAAATACTCAAAGATGAGAACATAATTAGACAATTACTGTTTTTACTCTTTGGGAATTAGCAGTACCTATACCAGAGAGTCAGCATGGTGTAGTAGTTTGAGTGTTGGACTGGGGGGTTGCAGACTGCCAGAAATAGTGCAAATTGAGTCCACTTTTAGGGTTAGGGTTAGTGCTAGGGAATCATGGGCACTGTATTTTATTGTGGCACCAGAGCTCTCTGACAGAGAAGGCTCAATGTCTCAGAAAAAAAACAACAACATTTCCCATGAAAAAACAACCCCCCTACGACTCTGGAGATCAGAGTTTGATTCCCCACTCAGCCATGGAAATCCACTGGGTGACCTTGGGTAAGTCACATACTCTCATCTCCAGAAAACCCCATGAGGATAATCATAACTCAGAAATGAACGTACACAATAACAAAGTGTCTATAAAAGGGATGGGCACCAATGTTCCTTGATATATTGTTCACAATCCAATTGGTTTTCCTCATGTGTAAATTCCTCTGCAGAAGGAGTTAGAACATTTGTCTGATGAAGAATGTCTACATTCAATTCAAGGTTATGGAAACAGAGTTGCACATTCAGTGCCATTCCTCATTGTGCAGGAATGCATTTGCTGCTTTGTGTATGGATCCACATGGACATTTGGGTCTTCATTTTGTTGGACATTTGGAGTACTGATCCAGTTGCATAATGCTGCCATTCTGCCACAAGGGTTATGCAGCCCAGATAATGAGCAGCTCTGCTTGTGGACATTCATCCTATGCAACTGATGTGGGATCTGAACAATTTTAACTGCGGCCCTCGCTAGCAGAGTTAATTATGACTGTGAAAGGTGGAGTCCAAAAATATCTGCTGGGCCATAACTGCCCACCCTTGATCTTTGCTTATTGGGTCATTAAAGCCAGCATAAAAAGGCTTTTTGGTGATTACCTGCGTTGGCCAATGTTGTCTAATAAGATCCTTAGTTATTTCTTTTGTATCACTCTTTATGACAGATCATTAATGCATTCTTTTCCTATCTTCTTCTATAATGCAGTGTTTCTGTGAATGCCTGAGACAGGGAAACTGCATTTGGCATTTTGTCTTAGTAACATGACAGTTATGCTGTCTGCCAGGATTGACTCCTTTGTCCTGACTTTATGTTTTTATTAATTCCCTTATTCATCTTTGAGTTGGCTGAAGGTGGATGGGTGGTGAAACATGGTAATGCTCACTGAGACCTCATTTAACTGTTAGTATAGAGTAATACGTATGGATTTATTGTTTATTTGTCTGTATTACAAACACCTTTATGGGTAATAGAGATTGCTTGACAGGGGGGGGGGATATAAATAAATTATTATTATTATTATTATTATTATTATTATTAAAATGCTATACTAAAATAGCAATACTAAAAATGATTTATATAAAAAAAAAGATTTAAAAAAACCATGGTGACTTTTCTGAACTAATGTAAAGGCAAAGACCTTATTTGTGGTGGATTTATTACAATCTGCAACAAGTCCCAAATAAAATCCTCCAGAAGCCAAGCAGCACCTATGATGTAGTTATGATGTACAACTGGGGAACTTTTGTATAATTAAATATAGTGTCCCAAAAGTATTAATTCCTGGTGATTGAAAATCTGGCCATAGATATGGTTACATCTTATTTGAACTACTCTAATGTGCTCTATGTAAGACTGCCTTTCAGCTGCTTTAACATGCTGGAGAGAGATTGCTATTGTTGTGTGCCTCCAAGTCATTTTTGACTTCTGGCATCCCTAAAATGAACATATCATAGGGTTTTCTTGGCAGGTTTCTTCAGAGAGGGTTTGCTATTGTCATCCTCTGAGGCTGAAAGAATGTGACTTGTCCAAAGTCACCCTGTGGTTTTTTTTAAATGCTTGAGCAGGGAATTGAACCCTGATCTCCAGAGCCCTAGTCTAATGCTTAAAAAACCATTACACTACAGTGACTCTCAGGGTGATTGTTACCAGGAGCCAAATACTAGAGGCATGTGACTTCCTTGTTGTGATATGTTCTCTGGGTTCCCTGGCTACCAGTCTGTTTTTGGGCACAATTTAAAGTGCTTGTTATGATCACAGATGTCCTGCATGACTCCACACCAGTAATCTGCAAGACTTTTCCCAGAAGAAATCTTTGAGGATTTCTGGGAGAGCCCTCTTTGCTTGGCCCAAGAAACTGACTTCTTATGGCCACTGTGAATATTTCACAATTGGATCAACTGTCTACTGTTCTTAATGTTTTTTTTAAAAATGATTTCATTGATGTTTCACCTAACTTGGCCTAAATCCAATATGATGCTGATGGTAATAATGAGTTTTTTAGCCTCTCCTTCCTGGCACAAAAACAAACCATCAAACAAACAAACCCCAAACCAGGGATAGGCAACCTTTTTGTGCCGGGGGCCGGGTTGCTGTCCCTCAAACAATTGGGGGGCCGAAGCAAAAATAAATAAATAAATAAATAGATACATTTTAAAAATTAAAAAAAATATGCATGCACACTCTCTCAGCCCCAGAAAAGCCATGATGGCAAAACCCCTGTGGAGATTTTGCCATGAAAACCCCAAGAACAAGTAATAACAACAATAATCAATATCATCATGGTGGGCGGCTGTGGGCAGCAGGGGTTGGCGGCGGCAGCGGCAGGACCAGCCTGGGGCCGGTCCAAAGACCTTGGGGGGCCGCAGGTTGCCTACCCCTGCCCAAAACCTTTGGTGGATCAATTTTTAAAATGTTGTTCAGGAAAGGTGATCAGGAAGAAAGAGGTTGCCACCCATCCCCAATTCTACTCATAGCACCTGTACTAACTGCAATTTGCATGCTGAGTATGTGACCATAGGTTTTTAATTAATACACGGACAGAGACACAGACATAGGCAAACAAACACACATACACACAGCGTTTCTACTTTGCAATTTGTGGCTGTTGGCTTCCTTGAGGATTCTGGGAATCCAATTTCAAAAAAAAAAAAAAGTAATGGAAATTTTTTAAATAACCACAAACAAATTAGAGCCAGACAGGTGGCAGGGTGCTTTGATTGGTTTGAAGGCTATCATTTCCCCCACCTAAGAAATCCCTCCTGATTTGTTACAACAGTTGATCAAAATAAGAGGCTGGGTGAATCTATATTTTTTGTATCTATCTTGCAACATTTATTGTAGTTTAATGTGCTGAGATTTATGTGGGAAGACATTTATTTTTACGAGTACTTAAACAGAAACCATATTTCCCTGAATCATGGCAATGGAATGGATAATAGCAGCAGAGAAAAAATGCCAGAAGCATCATTTCTGAGTTTGTCTAGGCATTATGCTCACCAGGAGATGGCATCTCTACAGCAAATGGTTCTTTTGGTAGGTAGGCCTCACTCCACGAATTCTATCCATTATCTACTCTTCCCTTGACCTGTTCCACATCATTGGCAGCTGTTTTGGTTACAGGGGAATTCACTATTTATCTTACAGGAAGGATTCATGTGGTGAATTAAATGGGTTTGAGGAAAGGAAACTTGCAACGGGGAAGCACATTTGAGTCCCTACAACTGTAGAATTAGAGTGTAGAGCTACCAGATCAGAGAGCATGATTTAAATCTCAACTTGACACTCCTCACCAATACAAAGGTTTGCTATATTTGTCATTTTTATTGGGTTGGATCCAAAGGTGGTCTTTGATAGGATTGCCAGATTGGATGTGGCATGGAACCTGAACATATCTTGAAGCAGATGAAGGGCAATAAAGATCTGGCAAGTGGGCTGATGATACCTGTCCTCTCTCTCCTTCCAAAGCCTGACTTTCAGCTGCAGTTGTCCCATCCCAACACAGAAGCAGAGGGAAAGGGTGTAGAAGAGCCAGCAGCAAAAAACAAAGCACAGTAACAAGAGAGGAGCTGGGTACTGCTCTGTGCCCCCTCCCCTCCTTTGCAAGATGACCAGATGTCCTAACTGCAAAGGAGGACAAGGAAAGGTAAAATGTAGGACATTCAAGAAAAAATTAGGATAAATGACCAAATAAAAACTAAAAACACTCATTTAAATAAATATAAATTCATGCTCCTCTGTCATGCTCAAAATGGAAGATATTTTGAAATTCCTCCTGGACAGAAGGCTGAAATGTAGAACATGTCCTGGAAAAGGAGGATGTCTGGTCATCCTACCTCCATTGGTAAGGCACTAGTCATGTTGGGAGGAGATTGTTGTGGTTTGGAAGGTGCAGGAGGAGAAGTATCCTGACTGATGGAGCTTCACCTCACCCTTTTCTGAGATTTGCTAAGATTTAAAGTCACCGAAGCTTGATCCCAGATCCAGTCTGGTAACTCCACCTTCCAGTCCCAGAAAGATGACTTTTGTGAAAGTGGCTTGTCGTGTGGAAAAGACACTGATCCAATCCTTTGTTTTAAAGTCCACCCCCTCTCACCTCATCAGATTCATTTCACAAGATTTTGGGCTGAACAAGTAAAAAACCAACCAACTCATAGTTATGATAATATGCTTTTTTAAACTTAACATTTTTGGAAAAAAACAAAACCTATCTGTTGAACATTATGTTCAAGTTTGACAAATGAGAAATATATTTTTGAGGTTTCCAAATCTGATGCATATTTATTTTGCTCTCCAATTCCCTCCCATAGTTACCCATTTGGAAACAAATCTGTTCCTTACAAATTATGGCAAAAGGAAAGTGGAGAGGCCCTTTGTTAAGGAGGTTAGTAAAAGGTCAAGAGCCAGTATGGTGTAGTGCAGGGGTAGGCAACCTTTTTGAGCCGGGGGCCGGATTGCTGTCCCTCAGACAATTGGGGGGGCCGAAGCACCAAAAATAAATAAATAAATAAATAAAATTTGCCAAGAAAAACCCCAAGAACAAGTAATAACAACAATAATCAATATCATCATGGTGGCGGCGGCAGGACTGGCTTTGGGCCGGTCCAAAGGCCTCGGGGGGCCGCATCCGGCCCCCGGGCCTTAGGTTGCCTACCCCTGGTGTAGTGGTTTGAGTGTTGGACTGTGACTCTGGAGACCATGATTCGATTCCCAGCTTGGCCACAAAAGCCCTGGCTGAACTTGGGCAAGTCACACTGACTCAGCCTCACAGGAAGGCAATGGCAAACCCCCTCTCAACAAATCTTGCCAAACAACAACAACAAAAAACCCCATGATAGGCTCACCTTAGGGTGGTCATAAGTTAAAAATTCCTTGAAGGCACACAACAGCAACAAAAGGACAAGATCAACTTGCTATGGGAAATTTAGCAGTAGGAGATTGACTTGATAGAATCAGAGGAAATCCTCTGAATGTAATTGTTTCTGGAAACCCAGGCAATGAGTAACGGGACAAAACCTTTAGCAATAATTCCAGCTCAAAGCTCAGTCCTGCTTGCTTAGAAGCATGTCCCATCCCGCAGTGATATACTGGGAAATTTTGAAGTGTAAATGCTCATAGTGACAGTCCCTACAGATGCTATCAAAGTCTAGCAATGGAGGCAGCCAACAGGAAAGAGGAGTGGATGAAGGATGAGCGCTCTCTTTCCATTTGGACAATGGGCCACAGGGGGAGGCAGCTGTCAATACTGGTGCTGGGTTTAACACGTGATATAAGAGATAGGGCTCATGTACTTTTAATAGTTGTGCAGAAGAGGGGATTTTGGCAGGTGGTGCTTGTCACAACCATTAAGGATCCCTGCCCCCCCTCACAACTTCAACTGGTGTGTTTGTGTGTGATATAATGAGCATACAGACACACAGTGGGGGCTGGCAGTGGGGTGATGGAACCCTTTCAGCTTAATCTGAATTTCAAAGGAGCGATCCAAGACGCTGAACCGAATTTGAGGATGAGGTTTAGAACCCTGGGTATTTCCTTTAAAGGTTTGAATTCAAAGACCAGGGTTGATTCACTGCCCCAATGAAGGGGAAGCATCAACCACTACTGTGAGCACACACATCAGTGCAATATTTTCCAGCAATTTCTTTTCCCAGGAATAAGGAGAAACACTAAGCCAGCAAACTGGGAGGCATCTATACTGTAGCAATAATGCAATTTGACACCACTTTAAGTGCTGACCCACAAAATAGCATAGATTTCATTGCCATGTGGAAACCTATTTATTTGTTTAGTTATTAAAATAATCATATCCTGCTCTATAGCCAAAGGTCTCTGGGTGGCTTAGCATAAAATAATTTAAAATAATTAGATCATATTAATTGTAAAAGATTAAAATGTTTTAAATCAGTTTATCAGTTAAACAGCAGTCAATTTTGACTATTTAAAACTGGCTAAACCATAATTCATTGAAATGTGGCAATGGACTGAGCCAGTCTGACTTCCCTCAGGAGAGAGTTTCATAAAACCCTCTTCCATGTAGTGTAGTCTCACAGGTGGAAGGATCTGCTGAAGCCCTTAGATTTCAAGCAGGCTCATATGGGAGGAGCTGTCGTTTTAGATATCCTAGCCCCAAGCAGTTTAGTAGATGAATATCGTAATTTTGTAACTGCCCATGCAGAAAAGACAGCATTAAAGCAATCTGATGGTTACAGATCACTGGAAGAAAAATGACAATGGAGCTTTTCAGGGGATGTGGGCAAGGAACTTTAAAAATTTTCATTAATATATACAGATGCTTTAGGAGTGCAGTCTTAACCCAGTGATGTCAATGGCACACTGGTGTCCCTTCTCTGTTTTTCTGCTGAAAGAAACACTTATTTTTCTTTAAGGACACTCAGGTGCATTTTCTGACATTTTGATTATATGCTGTGAACCATTTAATCCAGAGTAAACCCATTGAGAGAACCAATGTGGTGTAGTGGCTTTTGTTTTGGACTATGATCCTGGAGACCAGGAGTTGAATCCTCACTGAGGTGGGTTGCAGACTGCCAGAAATAGTGCAAATTGAGTCCACTTTTAGGGTTAGGGAATCATGGGAACTGTATTTTATTGTGGCACCAGAGGTCTCTGACAGA